GGAGGAGATACGACCAGCTCTTTTATTAGCTTTGGAGTTAAAAATCCGGGGCCATATTGTTGTTTTCTAACAATCTTTTGGGAAAAGCTGTTTCCCTATCAGCAGCATCTGGGTCTTTTCTGTAAAAACTCAGGGTTGATGGTAGTCTGGGCTCCCAGTGAGAGCCCGAATTTACCTCCCACCAGCCCGTGTTTGGGATCAAAACGGGAACAGAAAGGAGAAATAAAAAAAAAATTAAGAACCCAGGTGGAGTTGTGCCTCAGACCAAGTGAGGCTGGATCAGAAAAACACAGAATTAGTGTTTGAAATTAGAGGAAAAACTAAAGCTTCATGCGAAATATGGCTTTAAATAATATTTAATAATACTTAATAAGTATAATTAAGTATTTCTGATTCTGATTCTGATTAAAATCACAATTCTGCTAATGGAAAAATGTGTATTTTTCATCCATTTAAAGTTAAAAAAAGTTAAAAAAACGACTTTATCTTAACAGCACAAAGATTTGTAAAGAATGTAAAAATACCATTTACATGATTTACAAGCTCTGTATTCAGATAATTCCATAAATCTCTTATCTATACATATTCTGTATTATTATCTATACTTAACCCTGAAATGCCAAATGTATCTATTTGATTCATACGGTTTCTGAAATGTTTTGCGTCTGACACCTTTTGCATAATTTAATGATAAAAACTTTGCTCAAAATCCTATTTTACACAATCAGATACTCAGAAGACTACACAAAAAATCATCTTGACTTAGTAATAAATTATGAATGTTGAAAATGTATTTCAGTTTTTTCTTTTTACATATTTTGTTAAAAGGCCAAATAAGGAATTCAAACCAAAAAAAAAGTAATTTTCTGTTTTGTTTTATTCTTGGATCAGGCTTTAAAGGGTTAAAAAGCAGCCAAATGCTTAATATTATTTCTATTTCTGCGTCTTTGGGCTTTAGATAAATTTCTCGGTGATTATTGGTTCTGATTTGGGTCTCTGTGGTCCCCAGACCCTGAAGGATGCTAACGAGTCCACTCGGCAGGACTTTCTTATTTTTTCTTCATATGTTGTTGAGGGGCCAAACAAAGACTTCTTTTTACGTATTTAGTTAAAAGGCCAAAT